CAGTTTTATATTCAAGGAGTCCGTGGTCTGGTTCAGAAAGCAGACTTGTAAACCAACTATAGTTGACCCTGGAACAGCACGGGAGTTAGGGGCGCCGACTGCCCCATAGCCTGTCCTGAGCCTTCCTGCTCTTGCACCTTTAACATACAGATCCAAGTGCAAAAGAATCCCTTTTTCTTATTTCCTTCCAGTGTAGCTGAAACAGGCGGTATTATCAGTAGGAACTTCATTTGAGAAAGCACCACCACAGAAAACACAAAAGGAGAATGAAGGGAAAACAACAAAGAAAATATAGAAATCTGTAAAACAATCATGCTTACAAAATACAGATTTTGTGTCCTATGACAGCCAACATTTCTGCCAGCCCCACTAACCATTTCTTAAGCTCTTTGCTCTCCCATTCTCTTCCCTACCTTGAGCTTCCAGGCTCACAGATGCGGGAAAAACAGTGTATAGTGAATACAGCAGATGGGCCACCCTGTGGTATTGTGCAGGCTTCAGGCGCTCCAGGGAGTCAATGTCTTTGAAGAAATAATCTCCCCCAGAGACACTTTCTGGCTCTCCATGGGGATCCTGGCACAATTAAAGACTCGTGGCAGAGTGAATAGGGTTCTGGTGTGAGTCTTTTCCCCATAGGTAAGAATGCAATATCCAATGTTTCAGACATGTCTTTTGCATGACTCTCCCTTACCTCCTCCCTATTCCCACCCAAGTTCAAGTTCAGACCTTTGCTACCGCTTGTTCAAACTACCGCACTGGTCCGGTCTACAAATGCTGTGGCAACTTCTTTTTTTAAAGTTTAGCTCCAACCTGATCATCTTTCTCCCTCTGTCTGCCTGATTGAGGATTTTCAACCTGGTGGTCATTACCAACCCACCTCCCCAGCCAAATATCCTTTACACATAACCTATGCTTCAGTCAAACCATAGTCCCTACACATTCCGTCTCCTAAATATGCCCCTGCCTTTGTTCATATGGATGCTTCCATGACGAATCCCCTGTTTCTTCAACTTAATGGGTTGAAAATGCAAACTATCCTTATAAATACAATCCAGAACCATGGACTTGGTTAAACTCTTCATCTTTCTTTTGCACTTATTATTTTACTGATTTGTATTAGAGTTTTAAAAATACATATCTCTTTCCCACTTACCTCACTCCTGTCTCTAGACTAAATTATAAGTAATTGAAGACAGGAATAAAATACCCTACAGATCAGTGTGGAGATCAAAAAAGAGACTGTGTAACGGGGCACCTGGGTGCCTCAGTCTGATGAGCATCTGACTTTGGCTCAAGTCATGATCTCACGGTTCATAGGTTCGAGCCCCAAATCAGGCTCTGTGCTGACAGCTCAGAGCCTGGAGCCTGCTTCGGATTCTGTGTCTCCATGTCTCTCTGTCCCTCCCCTGATCACACACACACACTCTCTCTCTCAAAAATAAGTAAACATTAAAAAGAGAGAGAGAGACTGTAAATTGCAAACACGGGGATTGGTACATGGTTAGCCCTCCACAAATGCCATCAAGGTCTGGAGCACTATTCTAGAGTCAAATAGAACTAGATATGAACTCTGACTGCACCACTGACTAGCTTGGTGACCTCAGTTTTCTTATCTGTAAAAAGGGGTTACTTACCACTGCTCCTTCTTCATGGTGTCGTGAGAATAAATTAGATGGTCAATTAAATTTAATCATGGATATAAAAATATCTAGTTTAGTACCCGGCACTAGGCAATTTCAAAATAAACTTGTGCTATCTTATGGGTCCAAGAATGGCACTTTGTATACAAAAGCCCTTGGGAAAGATTTGGACTGAAGGTTTGTGCCTCAGATGCAAATACTTCCCACAATATGTAAATCCAGATTCAGGTCAGAGGTCCCAACTCTCTCTCACACCCAGGCTCCCTTGTTGGGGGAGGGCACCTCCTCTTCCCATCCTATTCTCTGTGACTTTGTCCTGGATGGCTCCCTGCCCTGCCTCTCACCACCCGTGCTCTCTCTTGGGTGGCAGCTGGTCTTCTGGAAGACATGCTGCTAAATTACCCTCCTCCGATGTGCTCACTATGGTTTTCTGGGGAGGATGAGGTGGGAGAGCATTCAGCTCTTCTGACCTGAGTTTCTGCCATTTTGAAGACAGTACCAAGGGAGCTATACCTCACACCTGCAAGTGAGGATATTTGTGCATGTACCTATTTTAAGTTGATTGGATTTAAATGGAAGATTAGACAATACTGCTAATACTAATAAAAGAAAGAAAAGGAAGGCTGGTTCCATTGTCAATCTGAGAGGATTCCTGTAACTCATTGCAAACAGGAGGCGTCCAGAAACTGCTCTATCCAGTTGCTTTGCAGGTGGGCCCTGATTTCCAGTCCCGGAACACCAGACACACATTTCCTGTGGATATTAACTAGCCATCCAATTGACAGTCTCAGTTTCCGTGTCTGTTCTGTGGCAAGAGCACGCAATGCATTGCAGGAAGCCGATCGATTATTTGCAAGTGGGATACACGATACCATCTCTAGTCCTCCAACCACAGCTGAAATCCAATTCCATCAGCTGGCTTGGATTTAGAGGGGAAATGAAAGTCACATTTTGGAAAAGTGAGATTGATTCAACATGTTACAACTGATGCTCATGCAACAAAACAAAAAACTAGTGGAGACACCCCCAGATGATCTATTCCAATTACCAATCCCAAGGAATCACAATGGTGTCCATGAATTTAGTAAATTTTTTGTAAATTTTTAGTAAAGTTTGATGACTCTCATAGACCCTCAGTTTTCTTACCTGTTAAAGGAGATAATTATGTACTTCATGGTGTTGTTTTAAAGATTAATTTGGATAATAGATGCAGAGATGAATTACCATGAAGCTAATGAAGATTAAGCTCTTCATTTGCATGGGCCCTTTTCAAGACCTTGTGCCTAACTTTTTATTTGTAATGATGCATCCTTTTTCTTAAAGAGGGTGCAAAATCCTATAAGCTCTCAAAATCCACAAACCTGGGCCTGCTCCCAGGTGGATGTATAGGGTCGGTACTCAGATGGCAGGAAGTAGGTGACAAGGTCAGCAGGACGGAGGACCTGCAAGAACAGGTTGGGCGTCTCTCTGGAGACTTGTGACTTTTATTGTTTACTAAGCGTCAGTGCCTCAACTATTATAATAGCTAGGGCTTGAAAGGGATCTAGCAAAATATCATCTAAAAACATGAGTTGTTTTTAGCTTAAATTTTTCCCTCATTTAGTGGGACCTGTGTCATGACCGAAAAATGTTCCTAAGGAGCTTAACCTCTCATGGTGGAAGTCCAGGTACAGCAGCCATTTGGGGAGAGACTCTGGGACAGGTGTCTCTCAGATCACATCAGGCTAGCAGCCTGCAGGGCCAGCTGCAGCTCTGGTCCTACAGAGCCTTTGCAAGAGCTGGGACAGTCCCAGCCTGGCACGTAGTAAACGACACAGTACCTTTCAACAGCCAGCCTCCGCTCCAACAGTTTTTTTTCAGGCAGATGCACACAGAATCATTTTCAACCCCCACCGTCTCCCTTCTTCCTCCTTCTTTCCTCCCCCCTCCCCTTATCCTTCTTTCCTTCTGTTTTCCTTCTTCTTCTTTCTGTCTTCCATTGCATGAATCATGATACAAATTTCAATCCAAGATAAAAATGTACTTTATTTCACCCTTTTGGCTGTGATTAAGTTCGGTCCACAGCAAGGACATTGCCGTTTCCATGGGAACCAATACACTCTAAAGCTGAGGAGGATGACAGCATAGAAAAGTAGAAAGAAGGCAAAGAGGTTTGCTACAGCTGCTTTTCACCCGCTATGGAGGAAACAGAACTATGGAATCCAGGGGCTGCAGAGGAATTTACAAGGTCACTAAATCACATGCCCACCTCCAGAAGAGCCAATAAAACAATTCTGGAGATAAGCAAATGTCCTTTATTTAAAGAGCGCCAGAACAGATTCCATAATCTCCTTTGAAAAGACATTCAGCTGCTATTTTTTAAGGGCAATTATTCAGCGTACAATTTGAGCAATGCCTGGGTGCCTGGGATGATTCCAGTCAGAACCCAGGAGACACAGCTGCTGGTGTAAATGAGCTCTTCAGCTTTGCCAGGGAAGAGACCCTGCCTCACTCACCTTCTTTTCCTTCCAAAGCCACGGTACTCCACCTTTGCTATATTTAATCCCACCAAACAGTCTGCCAAAGTACTCAGGACCTACCAAAATGAGAGCAAAAATCTCTTGCCTCCCCTTTTATAGTTTTCTTTCAAGAAGTACTCATTATTCCAGCCTTCCTATAATTATTATCAACAACATTTCTACTGGTTTTAAGCATGTTGAAATGTTATGGAGGTAGTGTTGGGAGTGAATGTTAATGCGATGACTTTAACAGAAAAACAAACAAGAACAATTCTCTGGTAGCTGACAATGGATGTGGGAGCCAAGGAAGAATTGTTCAAGACTTCGTTCCAGGGGCTGGACCGCTCTTAGTGCAAGTCTGGCCAAGGAGCCAATGGTCAGGACGCAGTTTGGGTAATCAGTCACATGATGCAGGTAAAGGAAAAGGGAAAAACATTCTGCCCTTAAACTACACAGAGGGCTTCCTACATACAGATGTTGGGCTGTGAGCTAAAAGGAAAGTTATTCATCAGGAAGGATCTTGGCCTGGTCAGTAGCATTTCCCCCAACTTTGAAGCCACAGTTCCTGATAAATTTTGAGCCCTGATCCTCCCCTGGTCAAGGTTGTACCCTTGTTGCCAAGGGGCTGACCACATATGGAAATTCAGGTGGGTTGCCTAGATTTGGGTGTTGCCTTGGGCAAGGGAAGCACCCCGAGCCTCAATTTTTTTTTATTAAACATGGGATGGTAATATCTATATCAAATATGAGATTAGCTGAGGAAAAAGATAAGCCACTCAGTGGTGCCTGACATGGCCAATGAAAATTGCTTGATCAATTGTGGATATTATTAATATACTGTCATTTTGGTCTCCTCATGCAGGCCCCACGAGGAAGCCAGCTCAGCTTCCTTGCTTATAGCTTCTGTTGCTTGAACTGGGGATGAGACCTCTCATCACGCCCCTCCATCCTCCTATTTCAGCTTCTATGGGGAGCAAATCGGAGCACGGGGCCAACAGGATATCAGCAAAGCCTGGGGTGAGTTTGACCTGGGCAAGAGGCATGGACAGGGGTGACCTGCTTTACCTCTTCCCTGTGCCACCCCATATTACAGAGGCTGCTTCCTGCTGCCTTGCATCTCTTGGCGAAGGGGGGAAGGCAGCTGGCAGCTGGGATGGGAAGAAACTGGGGCAGTCACTGCCCATGCGACCCCTTCCCCTTTCTTGCTGCTTGAATGCTTACACGATACCCAGGGCAAAAACGCCAGCCCTGAAAGTGCTCAGCCTCTCCACCAATGCCAACTGTCCTCCAGGTCTGCACTTGTTGGGGAGAAAAAGAACCCACTGTCAGTCAGGTTTTCTTGCAGCAGAATCATTTGTAACATGTGCTGTCCTAATACTTGCCACCACACAAGTCATCCAAATGGGTGTGGGGTTCCCAGCCACTGGCCTGCCTGCCCTCCCCAGCAGCTGCAGGTTTAGCCTCTCTGTCTGTCCTGAACCGCACACCGCGGCATCCTCCTAATTCTCCACTGCCCTCAGTTTCTCCCCAAACCATAATCTGTACCTCTTCCAGACAGAGTTCTAAAACAAAATACCATCTGTGCCTCTGAAACTCAGTTCAATCAGTCATTCTCCACTGTCCATGGTGTAAAGCCCAGATACCTCTGTGTGGTATATTAAGTGCCCTCAATCTTGGCCTTTTGTGCCTCTCCAGTTTTGTCCTTACTGAGCCCCTCCCTGCACGCCAGCCACACAGAACCTACTTACAGCTTCCCTCCACCCTGTTTGGCTGCTTGCCTATGCCTGATGGCTTAATGGCCCATTTTCTTCCTCTTATCCCATCCTCTGGCCAGGAGGTCCCCCAACCCCCACCCACACATCTTTCAAAGTTTAGTCCAAACAGACTTGTTTAAGAGACTTCTGTGAAGCCTCCTCAGGTGTCACTCTGTGCAGGACCCACAGCCCTCCTCGCTCCATCTGTACTCCCCACACGTCCATTGACTGCTCTTTCTGGTTTGTTGCCCCATCTGCTCATTGATCTGTCTCCCACTATCCTGGGAGCTCCTAGAGGACGTGAAGCAAGCCTTACTCATCTTTGTTAAGTCCTGTGCTGATCGCATTTCCTGGTCCATAGCAAGAACTAAGTGTCTTTGTGGAATGAGTTGTCAAATAATTCAAAGCCCCCCAGCCCAGATCAAGTCCATACAATGAGTTGTGACCATCAGCCAACCCTGTGAGTACGGTGGCAGGCCACTCTCCACCGATACGAGAGAGCACAGGGCAGCACGCTCCTCTGCAGGGCCGGGGCTCAGTTCTCATCTCCAGGGGCCCTGCAGGATGTCCTAAGACTCAGCACACTGAGCGACAAAGGGGATTAGAAGCAAGCTTGTGGCCCCGCCCCCACCACAGGAGGCAGAGGCCTGGCTGCCCTGAGATGATGTGGGGCCCAGGTAAAAATATTTTTTCTGGGAACTTTGTCTATATAAGTAATTTGATTACAAAAATATATCACAAAACCCATGGGCCTGTATGGGGTATAGTAATTTAATGAAGAGGATTTTGAATAATGGATAAAGAAAAGGCACTTACGTATTTCTTTACAGTCCAGTCAGTATATCTGAAGAGTCTTCATAATATCCACACGCCATCTTTTCCTGCTCAAGTCCAGGAACCATCTCATTATGTTCTTTACTGTCAAATGTGCAGGTCCTGGTGAGTTTTTGTATCTTTCACCACAAGTAAGAGGTAGAAATACCACTATTACCCACAATGATACAGCTCTTTAGAGCCAGTTTGTATCAAAACGATACAGATCTTTGGCCTCTGCAGTTCCCTACCACCAACTATTTAATGTCAGTCACAGAGTCACTTACGATGTCATGTCATATAGCCTGCCCCCATACTTGCCTCACTGGCTCTCTCAAAGGTCGTTTCTGTGCTTCATTGATGATGACCAAACATGCAAGTCTTACCCAGAGTATGCAGCAAAAATGTGAGCAATGATTTATTTTCTGGTCAGGTAAAATTTTCCTTTTAGAATGTTATAATGGAAGCATAGTATGATATTCCTCTTAGGCTATGATTGCTGAATTTCTAGAATGTATCTCTTTTGATTTTGATGTAGCCCAGGATACCATCACCAAAGAGGAAAAGAGGCAAGAAGCCTATGGCTGAATGAGAAGAGCAGTCCAAGTCCTTTAAGGAACATTGGTCCCTCACTAAGACTTGCCCTCGAGATCAAGGCATCATCACATACATTGGAGGCAGAAGAGTGTACCACTCAGAAGGGCTTATTGGGCTATGGAGCAACAGCTTCAAAAGCTCTTGGACCAAAGAACAGACACACCTGGGGACCTTTCCAACCAGTGACACAGAGCCCACAGAAGAGGTAGGGGGACAGTCCTGGGTGCCCACAGCAGAGGGGGTTGCAGAGAATAAAAGACAGTAGAACCACCTCTCCCCTATGTGGGTGCTATATACCAGATGGCACCATGGTCAGCATATATAGATAAGCGAGAGCCAAGTGGGGCCCACAAATGTAGTTCAAGAGAGAATAACAGGTTTAAAGAGTGGGCAGTCTACCATCAAGAGTTCAAAGCCCTAATTTTGTTCTGTGGCCAACATCAGAGAGAGTCACCCCAAATCAGCAAGCCAGTACCATTCTGGTGGCCCAGTCTCATGTGATCCTGTGAAAAGAATACCTTACAGTTCAGTGGCTATGATCTGCTGGCCAGGTAGCCCTCCCAGAACCTTTTTGACCACAGACTGGGACAATTGCAGAGACAAAAAACACAAAACATTTTAAGGCATCTGGTTGACCCCACACCTTGGATCGGGGTAGAAGTTTGGAGAGCACCCTAGTGTGGAAAAATGGAGATGACCTCATGGTACTCTGCTCAGATGGCATTGACCACTCCAGCTAGTCCCTTCAATTAGAGACTGGCCTTCTCTGAGGAAGGTTTGCTGAAGTGCACAGTCCTCTGAGGCTTGAGTGGAGTGGGCCATTTGCCCAGGTCAAAGTTCATGCTGGTCAGTGGTGGGGCAGCCCTGACGGTCCTAATGGAGAATGGGATAAGCCCCAGCTCCTCTCATGGAAGGGTGGTTATAGCTTCTGTGCATAAATTTCTAGAGTCAGACCTAGAAAAGATAGAGGAGGACAAGATAAGTGCTTTTGTAACTTCCATTAGGGAGAATAATAGGTTTAAAAGAAACTAGACCCTCTATTCAGAGGCAGTAGTATTAAAGTATAACAGGTTGAATGGAAGCTCCCAAAGGATGCCCAATACACCTCAGCACAAAGGCCTTTTATAATTATGAAAGGGAGACCATGATTTTCTTCAAGGAGTTTTGAACTCTGGTTTCTCTGCCAAGTCATAGTGAAAGTCAGTGAGCAATGAATTAGGAATTCAAGGGTCTCTTGGGTGGCTCTATTGGTTAAGCATCCAACTCTTGATTTAGGCTCAGGTCATGATCTAATGGTTTGTGGGTTCGAGCCCCACATCTGACAGTGTGGAACCTGCTTGTGATTCTCTCTGTCCCTCTCTCTCTCTCTGCCCCTCTTGTGTGATCTCTCTGTCTCAAAATAAATTAAAAAACAATTTTTTTAAAGAATTCAACAGAGCTGGGGCACCTGGGTGGGTCATTCAGTTAAGCATTTGACTTTGGCTCGGGTCATGATCTCATGGTTCATGAGTTCAAGCCCCACATTAGACACTGACAGTGTGGAGCCTGTTTGGGATTCTCTCTCTCTCTCTCTCTCTCTCTTTCTCTCTCTCTCTCTGCCCCTTCCCGACTCGTACCCTCCCCCTCTCAAAATAAATAAACTTAAAAAAAAGAACAGAATTCCACAGAGCTTAAGGAGATGTGAGAGTTTTATACAGAAAAATCAGTGAGGCAACAGGCAGGGGATGTGAGGACTCCATCTGGTGTTGGTCCTCCTGAGAGGGCAGCTTGCCATTTGGTCATGGGGTAAGCAGTAATGGTGGACCAGACCTGTGGGAACCTGTGGGAATTTTCCCAGTCTGCTGGGTTAAGGTTGTTCAAACTGATCCAACCTATTTCAGTGGAGTGATTCCAAATGTTTCTTTGCATACTTGCAGACACAGGATTTGCCTCCCAGATAACATTCCAACAATTAATTGAAATCATTTAGATGAAGCGCTAAATGACAGTTAAAACCCAGTATGGTATGGGAGGCCCTCTGAATTTACTATTTGAATACAGTAATCCCTTACTAACCATAAGGTTCCATTCCTAAAACATACTGTGGTTGGTGAGCTGGAGGTTTTGCAGTATCTCCTAGAAAACATTTGTGGAAAAGCAAACAAAAATTGGTGCTAAGTATCTTTTTTAAACTGAAGGGGAAAAAAAGACAAGCAAAACCCTTGATTTGTTGATACTTAAAACTTTCTCCAGGAGGTGTCTTTGTCTTAAATTTTCTTCAACGTTTTAGGAAATATTGGTGTAAAAACCTATCTATTGAGAGAGTTTGCCAAGAGTTTTATTCTTGAAAGTCCATATCCTTTTTTTTTTTAAGTTTATTTATTTATTTTGAGAGAGAGAGAGCACAGGAGAGAGAGGGAGAGAGAGAGAGGAGAGAGAGAGAGAGAGAGAGAGAGAAAGAATCCTAATCAGGCTCCACGCTGTCAGCGTGGAGCCAGATGCAGGGATTAAACCCATGAACCGTGAAATCATGGCCTGAGCTGAAACCAAGAGTCAGACACTTAACCTACTGAGCCACCTAGGCATCCCAGAAGTCTATATTCTTTTTAAAGTTTTAAACTTGCCTCTATTGACTTTAAATATAATGTGTTTTAAACCTGCTTTGGCTTTATTTTTTTTGAAACACTCTGCAAACTGCACATGTAATGTTAACAATTGGCTTTTTCTGATCCTTACTGTAGGTGGGGGAGAGAGGTGTTACTCTTGCATCTTCATGCAGTGTGAACAGTGTGAAACAAATATAATTTCCCTTGATGCACTATCTTAATCACCTAACAGAACTGTCTACAAATTCTATAATAGTTGTATTCTCTTGTTTCCGGGATATGGAACTAAACAAGCATAAAATAAAAATGAGAAGGCTAAAAACTCTTTGTGTAGAAATATGAAACAGAATCACCTAAAAACTATGCTTAGTAACAGTTGTATGTATCCTGACTGGTTTGCTGCTAACACATGAAATGCCTTTGAGAGACTTAGGAAAATGCTCCCTCCGTTCAGTTGGAGGTGTTTCAGACTGCTGCAGAGCCCCAATGGCTGCTTTGCCATCAGTGCAAACCCAACATGACAGTGACCCAGTGACAGTACATGGTGACCCTGATCCTGACATCTCTTTATGATTTCTCCTGTGCACCTAGCCTCAGCCCAGCCCTCAACAAAATAGTTGAATAGTTGGTTGAATGAGTAAATTAAAAAATGATCAATACAATAAAAAAAAAAAGTTGGAAGTGAAGGACTATGGAAGAAACAGAGCCAGCTGTCAAAAACATTTTGTGTCAGGGGTGCCTGGGTGGCTCAGTTGGTTAAGCACCCGACTTTGGCTCAGGTCATGTGGGTCTGAGCCCCATGTCAGGCTCTGTGCTGACAGCTGCGAGCCTGGAACCTGCTTTGGATTCTATTTTTCCCTCTCTCTCTGCCCCTTTCCCACTCACACGCTGTCTCTGTCTCTCTCTCAAAAATAAAGAAACATTAAAAACAAACATTTTGTGTCCTATCTAAATATTAGAAAACCTTTCTATTCTTGGTATGAATTACCCCACATGACAATACACTGCTAAATACTACATGGTTAAACTAGAAAAGAGTATAAAGTGACCCCGAAAATAGTGGCAGATAGTTAAGTGTTAATGTCTATGGGTTTGGAGCACAGAAGTCCAGAAATCAAGGAGCCCAGGACAAGAAGTCTGCTCTGCTGATTTTCTTTTTTCATCTCATGAGTGGTTACTATTACGCTTTGAAAGAGTGCAATTTCGGCATGGCAGCAATCAGTTGCAGAACACCATTATGCTAACATTTCTAGGGGAAAAAAGTTTTAGGAACTAGCTCTTTAGAATTTCTCAGAAGTCAGTGGAGCCTACACATGGAATTCAAAGCAAGTCTAGTTGGTATGCATCTTTTCCTTCCTTTTCTAATTTTACCACCCAAAATTGAGTATCCTGAGATGTTAACAGCAGAAAGAACTTGAAATAGACACTGACAAATAGGCTGTAAACAGGAGCTGGTAGATAGATAAATCAGATGGCCTCGAGACTCGTGTTTCTTGTTTCTATGACACCATCAAATCTAGTGGCCTGCTCCTTTGTGTAAAATGGGCGTTCCGGTTTTGGTGGAAAAGCAGCAAATGCTGTCCATTGCAGCAAACTGGAGTCCAGCACAGGTCCTCTCTGGCAGTTCTTCGGCCCAGAGGCCAGCCCGGGATGGAGCCACCCTGATGGCTGGCCGCTTATAGCTAACAACCTCACAGAACACTCTCCTGCCCACAGCATGGTGATCCGATTTAAAAGGAGTAAAGTGCTGTTAAACACGTACAACCACTGAAACCAAAACATGCAGTTCCTTTCACAGATTGACCGTAACTTGACTTTCTGAGACTAAAGATTCACGTTCATTCAACTCACGGATCAGCAGTCACTCCACGACGTGTTCAAATAATGGCTTCACAAAAGCAATCCTGAAACATCCAGGTGTTTTTTTTTTTTGTTTTTGTTTTTTTAAACCAGTCTCTTTCCCTCCGTGAGGTAGAAGGTGCATGTTTATTCGCTTTAAACTGGATACATGTTAAACCAGACTCCAGAAAGAATGAAATATCATTAACAAGATTTACCCAAGAGCTACCCAAATAGAAAAACGACGTGCGCAACGATCTGTTTCGCAGGAACGAGGCTGAATCAAACATCTGTTGGGCTTTCCTCCCCTCCCTCTTCCCTCCCCAATGCTTAATGACATCTGAAGTGCTTAAGCTTTGCACATTCCTTCACTAATTAAATTCCTGCAAAGCTGTCTCATGAATCAGGTGCTTTGTGGAGCACGAACACAGACCCTGCTTTTGTGTAGCTAGTCCCTGCCGGAGCACAGGTAGGAGCTGAACGCACACTTGGCCTGTTCAGCACTCTTTTCAGAAAGGTTTTAAGAGTTCTATTTTTCCCAAAGATCTTCCTTTGTTTTTTTTTATTACTGTTCTGTTAAAACTAAATTAACAAAAATAAAGAAATGAGGAGTTAAGTTGCACAGGTAAAGATTCAAGAAAAATGTGTAAGTACTAATTTTTGAGGGGACAGGTATATTTCAGTGACCCAAGTGGAAATAAAGGGAAAAGAAACTCCTGCCAAAGAGAAGTCCTGCTGCCTCAGACCCATTCTTCCTCCCTCCCCACTTCCCTTCCTTCTTTCCCTCCTTCCGTTGGTTCAACAAATCAATACGCATTAAG